AGTAACAAAGAAACAGAATTTCCGGAGGATGAGGCCCAGAAATCAGGATTTGAAAAAGATTCCCAGGTGACTCTAATGTGCAGCCAAGGTTGAGAACCACTGGTTCAGGAGATCAGAACTCTCAGAAGTGTGGGAGCCATCCACACTTGGAGTCACTTACAACCTTGGGATCAAGTGAAACCACCCAGGGAGGTAATTAGATAGAGGAGCGCTCTGAGCACTGAGCCCCAATGGGCACCGGCACCAGCAGTGTTCAATAGAGAGACTAGGAGTTCGCAGACCAGACTGGGAAGGAGCAGTGAGTAAGGGGGGAGGGAGAGACCCTGTCACCCTTGACATCAGAGGAACAGGCGGGAGCACCACCCCAGGTACTACCTGCAAAGGACACTTGGAACACGGACTGAGAATTGGTCATTGGATTTAGCAATGTACAGCTCATTGGTGACCTAGACTCCAGCATCCAAGAGGATGTATCTGCATCTGGTTAATCCTCTCCTCTGAGTCTTTGTAAAACAAATGGGAAGTGGTAATCTCTCATTTCTTCCAGTTTCCGGCCTGCTCCATTCTTTGTTCTGGATGAAGTGGATGCAGCCCTGGACAATACGAACATCGGCAAAGTAAGTTTCTTTCTGCATTTAATTTCCAACAGGACGCCTGGAATTCAGTGTACCCTGAGCAAAAATTGTTCGATAACTGTTGGTTAAAAATCAAATCTAAATTCAATATCTACAAGCAACATGGCTCAGGGGGATCCATTCAAGATTTAGGGGAGCCTCAGAGTTGGGGAATCTGCATGGAGTTGAGGGAAGATTGCGGTGCGGGCCTCTCCTGATCTAGAGGTTGGGACCTTAGGGTCACTAATAGGCCCCGTGGCAAACAGGACCAAATCAGTTTAATAAAGTCCAAAACTAACATCTCTAACTAAAATGTCAGAATTGAAGTTCAAAACTGTACCCCCTCCCCTTATACTTATTAACATTTATCCAGTGGCTGCACTTGTGCGGGATCATGTTTTCAGTATTTAAGACAACGAGGGAACTAAGGAAACAGCTAGCTCTTGAGAGTCCAGTCTCAGGTCAGCCTTGACGATCAGTGCATAGACACACAGCCACCTGGAGAGGCTCTCAGGCCACACTTCTTGACATGAGAGTGGGTCAACCATGGACGCATGGCCAAAGGACAGAGGCAAATACTGGCAGGACCCATCACTCCCCAGGGGAGGGGTCCCTCTGGCCCACAGACTCCTTCCTGCAGAGAAAACCCACTTCTGAGGATGGATGACGAGACTCCCGCTTCTCCTTCCAGGCGCGTCCGTCCTCCAGAAGCGGCTGGGCTTTGCATTCACAGCTGCTGATTGACCAGGAGGCTGCCCTGGTCCTGCCGACCGATGTGTTTCTCATTATTCATTTGTAAACTGGCGTCCTGGTTTACATCTTAGTCCTGTGAGCTTGGTTAAAGAGTCCACCTTTGAGAGATGTATCTGATCTTGGGGTGCCACTGAGGTTCTGAGTCTCTGAAGCTGACCTCCCCGACTTCTCTTCCGACTCTCTCTGGAAGGCTTGGGAGTGAGGACTTCCAGGAGCTGCAGTCTGAGGCACCTTCGAGTGGCATGAAGGTGCCTCTCAGCATTCCCAAGGGGCACTCGTCTAACCCACCTCTCTGGGAGCCTGCTCCCTGGACATGTCACAGTGGACATAGAACAGCACAACTTCAGACCCACACACTGGTCCCTGGACCTTGTGGGGGACAGGCAAGAGCCACATGCTGTGCCCTGCCAGACTGTCGGAGAGAAGAATGCTAGGAACAGAGAACACCTTGAATGCCAACCAGTCCGCATCAGCTGCCTGGACTCCGGGCCCGCCTCATTTGGGAGAAATCGCCCCTTTGATGCATTTGGGCACTTTGTGTCCCCTCTTCTGTTACGGGGGGTGAGGGGACATCTTATTTCGGTAGGCTGCATCTTCAGTGGCATTTAGGGTGTCCGTATCTTATTGCAAAATTCAGATGTATTCATGGTATCCCCTGGTACTAGGTCTAACATAAGATAAGACCTGTCATCACCTGTCCTGTGTATTAAAAGCCTCTTTGCTCCCAGTTTCCCTTAAGGGTGTGCGCTCCTGGCACCCCACTGTGCACTCGGGGCAGTTTTGTAGTATGAACAGCTAAGCAGCAGCTCCACCGCTGCTTGTGATCATGTTGCCCAACCCTTACCCAGGCAACTCTGCAGGCAAAACGCACGCCCTGCGTCTTTGCATCCTCCCTCCTCTTCCGTCCGGTCAGTATCCTGGGACTCAGTCCTGCATCGGGATGACTACTGTGCCCCTCAAGCTGGAGTTCCTTCTGAGTCAAAAGCAGTTTCCCTCCTCAGGGTTCAGCTCCCTGACTCACTCCTCCCTGAAGCTCGCCATTCCTGCCTCCAGCGCTGCGTCCTTAGTATCGTCCTTAGCATCGCGGGTGCAGCCAGGACCAGGGCACACGGAGAAGCCCCCTCCAGGCAGGGAGAGCGGGAGCTGGAAGCGTCTCAGTGAGCTGTGGCTTGGGTCCTAGGTCACCACCCTCCAGGCTCTGAGCAGGTGCTCACTAAGACCCATTTCTGTGCAGACTATTCTGTTCTGCTCGGTCCTGGGCACTGACCGTCCTGAAGAAGCCACCTCCCCCCCACATGACTGGGTCATGAATACGTCATTGCCATGGTTTCCCTCTTTCAGGCTTTGAGTTGGCAAAATAGGAAGTTGGAAGTTTAAATACCAGCCCTTCTTCACCCTCATAAAATATCTGAGTGGTAGTTCTTATACTGTTAATAAAGGCTTTATTTATACCATATTGTAGATAAGGTAGAATTTTATCCTTAAAAATATTCTTAAAGTTTTAGATCATAGATTTAGAGGTATCTTTCCTAACCTCTTATTTTAGACTCTGAGCTATTTCTGTGGTTGGAGTGGGTTTACCAAATTACCAGGGAGGCAGTAAGTTCTGTCACCTAAACGGGCAAACAGCCCGCAGGATCACTGTCCCCGGGCCCAGAAACGAGCCTTCCTTGCTGGTGAAGTGTGTGCTTTTTCCTTCCTCCCAGGTAGCAAGTTACATCAAAGAGCAGACTCAAGAACAGTTTCAGATGATAATCATCTCCCTCAAGGAGGAGTTCTATGCCAAGGCTGACGCCCTGATCGGCATCTACCCAGAGGTAAAGATGAGCACCCTTCCCATCCTTTCTTCCTGGAGACTTGGAGATGCTGCTGGGTTTCTGCAGTGATAAATACAGGCTTACATTATTTTTTAATTAAATAAGATTAAAAGTAACTATTCAGGTATTTTTCTGTGACAGTACAAAGAGATTTAAGATCTGAAAAGGCAAATTGAAAATTACAGAATTTTCTTTATAAAATAAGAGCATATTTACACAAAGTAAGCTGTAATATTGTATTCCTATTTCTGTAATGTTTGAATGTTTTAGGCAAAAGCAAATATCATTGTGGTAGAACTAATAAGGAACCATTTATCTTCCAAAAATACCAGAGGGAAAAACAAAGAAATTGACTGAAAGTTCCAAGTTGTATAGTAACTTTTAGAAGTGAACAAATCTTTCTTAAGCTATTCAAAATACTCGAGGTAATGGAGGATTTCTGATCATTCCATTTTTGGACAATGAGTTGCTAAGATAAAAATTTCCCTTCCTGTGCCTACAAATTGTTAGGGGACCACTGGAGATATGCTGCAGTAGAGAAATGAAAATTCTCACACGGGGTAAGGGAGGAAAACAATCTAAACAGTCTGCCCACTTTAGCGGCTCTGGCTGGGCCTGTAAATCAGACTGGCAAGACAGAAAAGCAAGCAGGAGCATCATGGCTGAGTAACCCAAAGGGGTGGCTAGAACTTGGGCTCCTCTCCAGTCTTAGGCTGAAGAGAGGAAAGGAGCGGGGGGAGGGGGAGCAGAGGTGGAAGGTGACCAGGAAAGCATGGTGAACAAGCCAGGTTTGCTCTGCAGATCACATAGGTGCCTTTCGTTGACAGCAGTCGTTAGAGTAGGGAAGGTGTGACTTTAGAAAAGCAGGACTTGTGGCCAGTGCCCGGGGCCCTTCAGTCCGCAGGCCGACGCTCTATCCACTGAGCCAAACCGGTTTCGGCAGGAAGGTGTGACTTTAGAAAAGCAGGACTTGTGGCCAGTGTTTAGAGCTTTTCCTGCATCTCAGTAGCTCCAACAGTCCATATGCCAGAGCCATATTTTGGCGTGGCACATCCTGATACCCTGTCCAGGTAATACAGAAATGAGCTAATAAAGCTGATGTAAATGCAAGCCATTGATAATCTTCTGAGGTGTCCATACCATACGTTTCCTTTCAAATGCAAGTCAAGTTTCACTACTGGCTCTTGTTTTAGGCTTAATAGCACCTTTTCCTTCGCAGAAGGACTAACTTAGCTGTCTGCTCTCCATTTCAGCACGATGACTACATGTTCAGCCGAGTTCTGACTTTAGATCTTTCTCAGTATCCAGACACTGAAGGCGAAGAAGGCAGCAGGAGACAGCGAGAGTCCCGCTAGGGTCCGAGTGGCCCGGCGCAGCTGCCGGCTCTCAGAGCGGATGAGTTAGCTGTGGTCAGGTCATCACTGTTCAGTTCTCACTCTAGTGTTCAAACTGTTGAGTAACCAACTTCTGGAGCCAGCCAGCCTGAGTGCCATCTGAGAAAGCTGAACCGTTACCAGCAAAGGAGCTGCTGCTCACTTCCGTTAGGAGTGTTTAGGCCCCGCCCGCTCCCGTAGGGAGTTTCCTGGAAGAGTTAGCTTTGAACGATTTAAAAAAAAAAAAAAAAGGTACAATTTTGTTACCATAGTTTCAAGTTCCATTTTGAAGCCCCGCCAGAAAAATTTTGAATTCTACATCCTCTTCACTCTGGTCTTGCCTTGTCCATTTAAGGAACATTTAAAGGATAGTCTTGGTTTCTGAATATCCTAGTTATAGGGTGTTGAACCTGGTTTTTGAGAAATTATTTCAGAGGAACTGATGTATGAAAATATCAATAAAAATACTCTAATTTCAAATGTTTCCAATTTACAGTTTTATAAACAAAAATTTTAAGGTGAAACTGAATTATGTCCACTTAATGCAATCTGCATTTTCTAAGTGTAATTTCTGTTCAGAAGGAAATGAATAGACTTTCCCAAGTAACAACGGACTTTGCCATGTCAGTGCACTGTTCCAGGTGGGAAAGAAAGTCAGCAGGACTTTACTTCCCTCTCAGGACAGATAGAACATTCGGAGGTGCCGCTGCTAGTGGACACTGCATGGGGCCCAGGTGCCACCAAGGGGTAGCTCCTGAAGTAGCGGACTCGCTTTCAAACTACACTCACGTCGCATATAAACAGGACGCACTGTGCCAGACGTGAAGTCACAGCCTTGCTCCCTGCTCACAGCTCCTCTGTGAACTGGAGAACAGAGACCACTCGGTCTCCCTGTGTTCCTTCTTTCAGTGCCGGCAATAGCACCTCAATCTCCGACTTTCCTGCCTTGAAAGACATCAGCTGAACACTGTCATGTCCCTTCAGTGCCATCAGAGCTGTGGCCCCTTCCTCTTCCTGGGCTGCCCGTTCTCATAACTTGGACTCAGGCAGCAGGTCCTCAGGCAGCATCCTCGCGTTCCTGAAACCACCTTCTATGCAAACCACCACGCAACAGGAAACGGGTTGGAACACCACACTCCAAAAACAAAATAGGAACCTGCTAACAGCTAGTTTACACACATTACATGGTTAAGAACCACACAAATATTGTAGCACACATGGCACTTTATCTTGAAAATGCCCAGAAGTCGGCTTGTGTAGTGGGCATCGCCGGGTCCAGTGGTGGAAGGGTAGTTGACCTAGGTTCCCACGGACAGAGCCTTACATACGCAAAGCAGGTGCGTGCAAACTGTTCCTCATTCATCAGTCATGTTGCTTTAAGTCTGCATTTTACACAAGTGTTATGGCAGAACTGACTACAGACAGGCTCACTCCTCACGGCAAGGCCTCCGCCCCGGCATGGCACTCGGAGTGGCACTCGGAGCTGGTCCTGAGCGGGGCCCTGCCTCACTTTTCCAGGCTTCCCTCCTTCCACGTCACTCTCCCGTGTCTGCCCAACCTTCAGACACATCCATCCCTGATCGCACTTTTGTGAGTCTTTAAAAAAACAATGTCTAATGTTTGCTTTTCAAACATTAAACACATTCAAGTAATCACTTGATTTCACAGCTGAGTGGCAACTCATGGTAAAAATCCTCATTGAATAAATTAAAACAAGCCTTGTCATAACTGGAGAAAAGTTGAGCACACAGAGTTGAAGTGAAAGTTTTATGACCAGAGTAGCATAAAGGATTTGTTTTTCATGCTTTCGAAAGCAGACAAAGGTCTTAGCAGGTCCAGCTCATCTCTGCCTACACGTCCCAACCTAACATTTCTAGTTCTTTGTGCCTGTGGGAGCTCCAGCGCCATCAGTGGGGAGTGTCATCGTGCTTGGCAAGAAGTGTCACATCAAAGTAGGCAGCCTCTAAAGCAGACTGAGCAGGGCCTTTGCCACAGTCACAGAGCAACCACCCACCACACCCTCTGCGCCCTCTGCCCCAGCACTGCCGGCAGCTGAGCACCTGACAGCGGGGAAGCAAGACACGGGTGTGGCAGCCCCTTCCCCAGGCCTGCCTGCCTCACGCTGTGCCCCGTCACGTGCCATGGCAGAGAACGCTGGGAGGTGAGAGACTTGGAAAGCTTGGGATACTCTAACTGCAAGTTTAAAACCTGCTCTGCTCCACTTGTAACTTCTCAGTTAACAGCCTCAAGGCGGACTTGCACCGCCCTGCACTGCACCACTGGAAAGGCACTCTGCCCTGGCCGGCGGCTCAGTGAGTTAGAGCACCATCCTGTGCAGAAGGTTGAGGGTTAATCCCTATTAAACGTACTAACGGAAGGCAACCAATCGATGCTTCTCCCTGCCTCCCTCCCTCTCTATAAAAAAGAAGAGGCCTCTGGTTCTTCGTGAGGATGCTCTAACGCCTCAGGGACGGACCGGCCATTCTTTGGAACTAAGTTACTACAATTCCAAAGAAGCCCTACTGATCCAGACATTCTTTTAAAAGACGTATCACTCTCACTGGCAGATTCAACACCTCGAATGTTCTTTACTTAACAACGTAACAAACATACCTTAAAAGTTTTTTCTATGGTAACATGTTTCCGCATAAAAATTATAAAATTTAAGAGTCTAGTTTCTTTTCTCTTTGGCAACTACTGTTGCTTGTAGTCTCCACTGTCCCCTTTATTAAAAAGCCCACCTGACCACGGGCGTGTTGGGGAGCCCGGAGCACCAGGCCCCTCCCTTCCCGCCGTCAGGCCCTGAGGTAGTTGTCCGCCAGTCCTCACGGAGGATACCTGAGGTGTGCGCTTCACCCCGAGCAGTTAGACACACAGTGGGACTGTCCCCCCGCCTCCGCGGCCACACCCCACAGGGCTCCCGTGGGGTACATGGCGGTTAGAAGTGAGAGGTCGTGTGAGTCCTCGAACATTCCTCATCGTCCGCTACGGCACTGTGGTCACAGAGGCTGGTTTTCAAGTTGCAGGTTTGTCGGTTTTAAAGATTTCAAGATGCGCCAGCATCGTCTGTTTAAACAGAAAGAAAGGAATACAAGATGTGAGGTTCAGCTCGAAAAAGTATTTGCCATAGGATTTCTATTCCAGAAAACTTTCAGTTTTTCTCATGTGCTGAAGACTCGGAAAACGCCTCCATGCTGGGAACAGTAGCCACTGTCCAGAAATGGCTTTGTGCTGGAAGCACCCCCCGGCGCACTGGGCTCTGTAAGAGCCGTGGAAACCGCCCGCGAACGTGGGTGCTCCTCCCTTCGTAGGGGCAGAGGCGGTGTCAGCACATGTGATGGCGCCTGGTCAAGTGCAGACGGAGGCGGCCGTGGCAGGGGGAGCCCGCAGCTCCCCCTCAGCTCTCCCGCCTGCGCAGGACGGCCCGCAGCGCAAAGATGAACCTGGGCCTCACCCACACGCAGGACAGGCCAGCTTCCTGCGAGAAAGAGACCAAGGCCTGCCGGGCAGAAGCTGCTGGGAGAAGCAGGCTGTGGACGCTGCTGGCTCACACCCTGTCCACCAGCAGAAAGCCTGCGCCTGCAGCACCCCGCTCCGAGTGCCCCCCATGCGAGAAAGGCTGTGTGTTCACAGCAGCAGCAGAAACCCACGGTCCAGCGAGACCACCACTGGGCCGGCCTCTCAAACATCTGTGACCCTGAAGACGCCGCAGGAAAGGAACACTGGCCACAAGGACACAACTCGAAGACACTAGTCTTGTTTGATTTTATTCAGTCTCCACGAGCTGAATTCACAACCCATAAGACCGCAAAGAATTTATCCAAAATGCTATCACGGAGGAACGCTCCCTCTAGCGGCCGCACAGTGACATTCTACTAAGTGCCCTGAATGTGTACCACTACTGTCCTCCACGAGGTCCCCAGCGCCCGCTCTTCTCCACCCCCCGAGGGACAGAAGACTGTCCACTCTTCAGCCACCAGTCCTACCTCGGGCCACCACCCACCCTGCAAGCAGCCAATATCAACAACTGCCGTGCTTGTTGAGTGTCATTTGCATCATTATGAGCCTTTACATCTACAACAGACTATTCAACAGTACGTGGTCCCTGTGGCGTAAAAGGAAATGCAGTGTCACAGTGTGGCTCAGACATACCCAGGGGGGAGTTTAAATGTGAAATAAATAGGCAACTGACGGGGCACATGCTGTGGAGCTCCAGAAGTTCCTGTGGGTTACTGTGTGGTGTTTAGAGTGTTTTACTGAAATTCCTATAAAGTAATAAGAAATAAACTGTTACCTGAAAACCCGCCCCACCAATGGGGTTTTCAGAGATGGAGCGAGTCAGGTACCGAGGGAAGCCTCTGCTTTCTTAGAGACCTGAGACGGCATCACAGTCCTAACTAACAGATGCTGAGGCAGAACAACTCAGAACACAAGAGCGCCTGGAAACTAGCCACCACGCTGTCAGAATCACTGAACCCAGAGGCGAAGGTAACTGGAAATCTCGCAGAAAGATTTTTGAAAAATGGAGACAGAAAATGAAAACAAAGACGTTACAGGAGTGGACAGTAGAAATCAGCAGTGGACAGCAGTGTGAATCCAAGAGGGGGAAGAAGACGGGCATAACCAAGGAAGCCACAGATTGTTCCAGAATGGAGACGGGGAAATGGAGCACGGCATACAGAAGAATCCACAAAAACACCCTCATGGAATTCAACACCAAGTGCCCAGACAGGCCGCCCACAGAGCACTGGGAACGGGGTTGCACCAGACCCTCTTCGACAGGAAACCTGGGCGCCTAAGACAGCAGTCACTCTTGGGTGGTGGTGGGGTGACTGAAAAAAAAAATTTCTCAACACTGCTCTGCATCTGAAACCAGATGGGATACGTGGGTGTATTCACCTTGTGAAAATTCACTGCTGACCTCACATGTTCTCTACGTGTTTTTTCAGCAACACGTTAATGTAAATGAACACAAGTGTCTGGAGTGGGTCCCTCGGGCAGTTGGAGTGACACGCATCTCTCCTCCCTCCTCCTGGACAAGGGCAGTGAGCGGCAGCGCCAGCCCCACCCACAGGCAGGCCCCCTGGAAGCCTGGGTACCTGAGGGCCGGAGCTGCTTAGAAGCTTCAATTCCGTTCTCCTCCAGCTTCCTCTTGGCGCAGTCCTGGCACCCGCTCCCTGCGAGGAGACGCTCGTTAGAAAGCTGCTGCCACCGAGGCCGCACCCCGCTCAGCCAGGGGCTCTAAGGGGCTCCTGCTTTTTCAGGAGGCGGCGCTGGAGGCCGTGGAAGGGAGACAGCAACACAGCCGTGTCCCGCACAGACACAGGGGAGCAGGAAGCTGAGCACAGATGTCCCTGATGTCGCTCCTGAGCTGCTGGGATCCCGAACCGCTTTCATTCCTGAACTGAGCCCACCACTCGCAAGATCCGTGTCTGGGCCGCTGAGCCCAGCGGTAGGGAGGCGGGGGCTGCACATGGAGGCCCGCTCCCAGCTGAGCCTCTTCTGACCCACAAACTGCCCAGCGTGCAGGCCAGAGCCCCACTCACCCCAGGAGGCCGCGGGCAGCCGAGCTCACGTGGCCACCTCGTGTATAGACAGAGGCAGGCAGAGTGGAGCAGCAGAAAGAGCATTTGCATTTCAAACACGTTAAAAAGAACATTTCCTACGAAAGCTTAGAACCTTTGCAGTTAAACTTCTGAAGGGGACGGGCCATGACCACCCCTCAGCTGATGCCCTGAGCCCGGCTGGGGGACAGGAGTGTCCTCGGGCCGTGTTCCACTACACTGTGCTCCCGGCGGAGGGGGGCGCTGTCGCCCCTTCCCCGTGGCAGGCCTGGCCTGGCACTACTGTCCTTTCAGGCCCGTGTTTAATGTGAGGACCTGTCTATGATTTACAAATAGCGGCAGGAAGACAATGGAACGTGCAGGCAAAACCAGGCGGATGAAATCCCAGATGCGCCTTACCCAGCGTGGTGCTGTCCACTCGGTCGGCATCTGGAAGAAAGGAAAACAGTCAGAGACGGAGCCACCTACGCCCCTCCAGCTGCAGGGACGGTGAGGCTGCTGCCCAGCGTGACCACCGTCAGCCCCAGGCTGGTTAGGGTCCTTGCTCTCCACCTCCCAGGGGCCACACATGAAGCCCCGGCCCTGCAGGGGGCAGGGGTGGCACCGCTGTCAGTTTCTGTCCTCACCGTGTGCCACCCTCCCCAGCCAGGAGAGGCACCTCACAACGCAAGTACACATGTCCCTGAGGCACAGACTGCAAGGCCCCCGGCGCTCCGGGAGCCGAGCGCATGCAGGCTCACATCAGGTCCTGGTGCCCGGGGCCCGGGGCCCGTGCGTGCGGAGGCGAGAGGTGGCGGTCAGGGGCAGAGGTGGCGAGAACGCCATCCCTCTCCAGAGCCATCAGAGCCTGCTCAGGGGCACCGGAGGGGACGGTTCCCCCTGCTGAGTCCAGGACCCCATCCCAGCTTCAAAACACCTGGGCGCAGCCAGGCACAGTTCACTCCTGAGCTCGGCCCACACCTATGATCAGCTGCTGGCCGCACTGGGGACCCTGAGTAAACGGGAATAGGGTCACAAACGTGAACTTCACAGCCACGGGCCACAGCGCAGCTCCCTGCTCCTCGGTGAGAAACTGGCTCTTCCGTCGGTCAGCTCGACTCAGGGCACAACGGCACCGCCCTCAAGCGGCCCACTCTGCTATTTACAGAAAGGCTGGTGGGGAAACTCGGGCGGGACGGCGCCATGGTCTCGGCGACTCTAGTCCTCCCAGCGGGTCCCGTCTGCCACCGTCCCCGTGCTGCGCCCAGGCCGTGTGGGGCCTGCGTTTCCTGTTACTCTTCAACGACAGCCAGTACAGACTCTTCCAGTCGCGTCATCCATGATTTATAAGACTCCAAGCCGGCGGCTGCCCTGTGTCGAGCTGACCAAGGTAGGAGTCGCTCTGCAACCTCGTCACTCCCGGCAGGTGAGCACCTCCCAGGAGAAGGGCCAAGGAGAGGCAGTCAACGAGCTCGGAAAGGCGTGATCTGAATGAAGCCGTCGTCCTGGGCGCCCTCTGCCCGCCGTTCTGTGAAGGACAGGCGTGCATCTGCCGGACGTGCTTTCCGTCCCGGACAGCTCCTTGAAGCGTGGCCTCTGCACCTGAGCCGGTGTGTGCGGCTCCACGCACAGCTGTCGGCTCCGCAGACTACACTGTCACCCGGTCCTCCATGATTAAAGTACACGGGGACAGTTTGGGAAATAACTAAAAACTGGTGAATTAATGGTATGTAAAATAAGAGCTCAAAAAACATCTCCGTTTTATTTTGTGGTGTGTAGATTATATCTAAAAAAAAAAAAAGGAAACGCTGGTAGGCCTGTGGTTTTACGCGGAGAGTGAAGGCTGCGTACCTGGGCTCCGCTGCCGGCAGATCTGCGTGGCCAGGTCCTGCACGTACCCCGGGAAGTGGTCGAAGCAGGCCCCGTAGGACACGACCTTGATGCCGTGCAGCAGCATGTCGGCCTGGTGCTTGAAGAAGTGGTCCTCGCTCTCCTTGAGCACCACCATGTAGTGCTCCAGGTCCACCTTGTTGGGCACCGAGTACAGGAAGAGCGCCTGGAAGATCTGGTCGCGCAGGGTCTCCCCGCAGCCCACGAACAGGAAGGACCTGGTGCGGTACAGGCTCTGGAACACCTCCTGGGAGACAACGGGGCATGAGCCGCTCGGCTGGCGCTCAGCAGGACCCGGCCCACAACTGCCTTCCCCAGGGCCACTGAGGAACGGGCAGAGGCAGCCCTGTCTCCAGGCCCCAGGCAATGTCCAGGTTACATGAACCGAAGTCAGCACAGCCTGCAGCCCACCCTGCCCACCGATTCTGAGCTGAGTGCCCACTCAATGCAAATTTTCTAAAATCGTGTACAATTTTAAAACACAAAATAAGGACATGAAATGTTGCCGTTCAGAACTGCACATGCCACACCCGGGAATTAACGTGTCTCAGTGGATCATAGACAAACTTTGGGGGGACAGGAGGCTGGCATCAGGGCAATAGGGTTTGGGGAGTGAGGGCAGCAATGCTGAGGAGGGACCAGTGACAGCGACCCAGGGGAGTGGGCACAGGGAAAGAAGGACTGTGTGGAGTCACTCGGGCCTGCAGTGGGGCCCGATCCCAGTGTGGGATGTGTAGGAGGCGGCCGATCAATGCTTCTCTCTCATTGATGTTTCTATCTCTCCCTCTCCCTTCCTCTCTGAAATCAATAAAAATATATTTAAATGAAAGGAAGAAAGGGAGAGAGGGAGGGAGGGAGGAGCAGATGGACAGAGAGAGCAGTGGCCAGAGAACAGCATCACAGACCCTGCGGGTCTGCACATCAATCGGAAGAAATTCAACTGCATCCCTGAGCCGGCGCAGGACAGCTGGGGGCGAGGAGTCAGGATGGACCCGCTGTAAGGAGCCCTCACCAAGCGCCCTCTGAGCACCTGTGCGCATGGCATGCCCAGGCCCTGGACCGCGCAGGGCGGGAGGCAGGCCCATCCCTGCAGCCCTGAGGTCCCGAAGGGCAGGACTGCCTGGAGGTCTGGAAACCAGGCGGCTGCCAGCAGAGTCCCAGGGGCCGTACCATCACTTCCGGGTCTTGTGTGACGTCCTTGTATCCCGAGGGGTCCAGGACCATCCCACAGGGGTCCGTGTAGAGGCCGTGGATGTGGAGCACTCCGTACTTGATGTGCCCTCGTGCCCACTGGAGGACCTGCCAGACATCGGAGCAACAGAGGGAGGAAGTTGGTGTCACTGGAAACAGCGTGAGGGAAACCCCTAACCGGGATTCGTGGTCTTTCACACCTACTTGGAAAGAATGAGGTGTCTGCACTGCTTATACCAGTGGTCGGCAAACTGCGGCTCGTGAGCCACATGCGGCTCTTTGGCCCCTTGAGTGTGGCTCTTCCACAAAATGCCACGTGCGGGCGCGCACGTACAGTGCAATTAAAACTTCGTGTCCCATGCACAGAAGTCAGTATTTTGTGAAGAGCCACACTCAAGGGGCCAAAGAGCCGCATGTGGCTCGCAAGCCGCTGTTTGCCAACCACTGGCTTATACCTTTAAGGCCTAGAGTAACTCCGCTGCTGGCGCTAGTCACTCCTGTCCCGTCGCATCAGAAAGGCTCTGGAGGCAGAGACGGGTGGAAAACACCCTCCACACCGGCGATCACAGCGGCCGCTGAGACTGACCGGGACCGGGGGCGGGAGGACCTCGCTTCCCTGTTCCCTGGGACACTTCAGGTGCTGCTGGGCCTCTGATGTTCCCACCAGAGAGAAGCGTACGGGAAAACGACTAGCAGAGCCCTACGTGATGTCCGTCCAAGGCTCAGAACAACGGTCCTTAACAGATGCGCGCGTGTACGTTCCAGCTCATGCCGGGGCTTTCTCCGCAGCAGGCGCTGCTGACAACCCAGACAGACAGACGGACAGTAACAGCTCTGACCCAGAACAAGCAGATGGGCAGCCACATCTCCGCCACCTGCCATCTCATTTCTCCCAGAGACACCCTTACACAGCGAGCAGGCCTCCCGGTGGGACCAGGTGGCTGGGACGCAGCAGGTGGTCTGTCCAGAGGGGGCAAGGGCACCGGGAGGCTGTGCAGCACCGCGCGGGGTGGACAGCCTGTGCCAGGCCCGTGTGCCCGGCCGCCCGGCTGCTGTCTCGGCCCAGCTGGGGAGAAAGGCTCCCAAAGGGAAGCTCTCGGGTGCGAGCCGCACTCTCAGCCAACTCAGGCCTGACTGAGTCGCGACCTCTAGCTTCCTGTGCGCGGAGGGACCCAGGCCGTCCCCCATGAAGCGAACCAGACAACACGGCAGCAATACTGGCTCCCAGTCAGACTAGTACACTTGTGAGCACACACCAAAGGACACGGCTGCCAGAAGAGAAGTCACTCAATGAAGCTACATTTCACCTGAGTGAAAAGGAAAACAAAAATGCCAAATGCTCACCCGTCCTGTGGGTAAAATGTACTGGGTTTTGTTTTTGAGTAAAACTAGTGTTGGCAAGACATGAGAAAGGGAGCCAGGCGTCCCTCGGACATTTTGTGGATTTGGTTCCACAGCGCCGCGGTAAAGCGAGCGCCACAATAAAGCAAGCCGTCCTCTTTCTGCTGGTGGGAGGTCCTGCCTTCAACTGGTAAAAAACGCAAACGTGTCAAGCGCAGTAAAGCGAGACCTGCCTACACTCCACAGAGAGCTGGTGGGACTAGAAACTGGCAGCCTTGCTGGAAAACCATTTAATTTATATCACCATCTTTAACAGAGTCACACCCTGCCGTGGCCAGCGTGTTCAGTGGTTAGAGTGGCAGCGGTGCACCCAAGGGTCTTGGGTTTGAGTCCCAACCAAGGGTACATACCTGGGTGGCAGGCCCCTCCCCACCCCCTGGACAGGGTGCATGGGGGAGGCAACCAGTCGATGGGTCTCCCTCATATCGATGTTTCTCTGTCTCTCCCCACCCTCATTCCTCCCTCTCTTACAATCTCTCTGAAAAACAATATAAAAAATACCCTCAGGTGAGGATTAACAAAAAAAGGTCATACCCTTTGACCCTGAACCTCTTCTAGGGACTTATGCTAAAGAAATAAACAGAGAGGCATAGAAGTATAAGGATTTTCATTGCAGCATTATTGATCAGCTGAAAATATGCTAATAGTAAGAGAGGAAAGGCAACAATTATACTTTAGTTTTACAATTACACTGTCCTTTAAAGTCATGTTTTTTAAAACAGCTTAATGGAGTTCTGGTCAGGATGGCAGAGTAGATAAACACTGCTCGCCTCCTCCCACGACCTCATATAAATTACAGCTAAATTCTACAAACGTCCGCCTGCAGACTCGCTGAGCGGAACCCCCAGAGCCAAGGATATAGAGCAGCAGACATGGCAAGATCATGCCCCAAAGAAATATGATCTCAGAGGCAAAAAAATAATTTAAAAAATTTAAAAAGCCAAGGACAGAAAAATGCTCACAGTAAAGTATTTGGGGGGGAGAAGGGGATCAGGGTAATAACTTCTACATGTTGCAATCCCACTTTGTGGCGTTTTTTAAAAAACAAATTAACCAAAATTCATAGCACTAGGACTGCATGCTTCTGCTTTCCTTAGCGACTTCCTACAATCAATGAATGAACGCAGAGGAGAAACCCCAGGTCAGCAGGACGGAAGGCAAAGACAAGAGCAGGCCCCGAGCAGCTCCGGGAGGGAGGGCAGAGCCCTGCACTCAGCTGCCTGCGAAGGGACTGGCGCACAGTCCAGACCAAGCGAGGGCCGTGTCTCACAGTGGGGAGGAGCGGACAGCTGAGGGGCTCTCGCAAAGCCGGACCTCACACCTACTCCCAGCCTCTTCCCTCCCGCCCACTCCCGCCCCGGACCCTCAGCCTGCACCTTGGTCTTGTCCTTCAGGTCCAGGGACTCCATGGGCCTGTTCTGCTGCTGCCCGAAGATCTCCAGCAGGTTGTCGTAGTTGGTGGTCAGCACCATGGTGCCCCGGTCCATCAGGCTGAGGATGGACTGCAGCACCTGCGGGTGCTGGAGGTGCTGCTCCAGGTTGTCGAAGATCTCCATCAGGCAGTCCTGGAAGAAGTTGGGCTTGGTGTCGCCCGTCCGCTACAGAAAGGTGGACGGAGTTACAACCACATCACGTCTCGGCAACATGAGCCCCACCCGGCAATACTCTGGGTGCGAGGGAGGGAAGGGAGAAGGAAGGGGACCCTGACCTCGCAGGTAATTACACTCCAGAGGAGGGACACACAGTTTACAAACACATGATAAGTGCTAAGTGTTAAGTGCTTTGGGGAAAGTGATGCCGAGAAGAGGAAAGGGGCAGCTGCTGCTGGGGCACAGGGTAGGTGGGTCGCAGGCAGGGCGGCCTCTCTGATGAGGGGCATTTGGCAGTGGGGCCTCTGGAGAGAGTATCCCCAGAGGCGGGAACAAGCGCAGGCACCGAGGTAGTAGCACAGGTGGGTCCAAAGGTGAGCAAGGAGCCCCCACGCAGGAGGAGTGAGGGGCGGTCAGAGGCGACCCAGCACCAGACCAGGTGGGGCCTTGAAGACCAAGGGAAAGACCTTCCCTCCGAGAGCTGCCACAACGGGTGTTCCCTTCGTTGGGGTCCAGGGAATGGTGTGTCTCAATGGCACACATGGCGGAGGAGCCGCAGGATGAGAAGGCATGTGGCCCTGGGGCAGCACCAAGGTGCTGTGGCCGTGGTAAGAGCTGCCGCAGTGGAGCCCGTGGGATGGGTGTGGGAGGAGAAGTAAGCAACTGGCGACAGGGAAACAAACGACTCCTGGGAAGAGCTGTGCCGGGAAGGGTCAGCTAAGCGGGGGCAGGAGCCAGGAGGAGGCACTCCCAGGAAGAGTGCCCCTCGCCAGCCACCGCACAGGGCAGCACGGGCAATGGAGCCGGGCTGTGCATTCGCACGGAACCCCTCGCCCACCCTCTGCCTCTCCATCGCCTCTGCTTCCGCTGTCCCTCAGAATTCACCTGTCCCGGCCCTCCGAGCCCGCTGATGTCAGCTGTCACAAGACTCTCAGATCATCACCTAGCCCGTGGCTCCGGGTGTAGGGAGCGGCTATAGGGTCAAGCCTCGGATTGACCTAAGTCAGGGCCACAAACAAGTCCCAGCTTGGAGGGCAGAGCCCTCTTAGCATAATTAAGCTGAACCTTACAGCCCTCCCTAGTTCCTTCCCAGGTAGCTAATGGGCTGTGGGAGGCGCAGGAAGTGCTGCCAAAACAAGGTGAAACGCACAAGAACATTGTAAACATGCTGACCACTTCCCGTGTTTTGCTTTGTGTGCTCTGACTATAAAATAAAGCCTCGGTTTGGAGGCTTGGTTTTTTCTGTCTTCATCCAAGCACAGGAGACCCACCGAGCCCCAGTTGTATTGTTTTCTTCTTTAATCCTTCACCGCCTCTCCTCAGGCTCACCCTTGGCCGTGCTGGCACGGCACATCTGGGCACTCCCCTTTCTGACCCCCACCCCAATTCTGAAAACCCTCCCACTGTTCCTGGGGGGTCTGCCCTCAGTACACCCCACACCTCCATCCTCACCGCCTTCCCCACCTGAAAACTGGCTCTCCCACTCCCTGATCCAGAGGGTGTGGGTGGCTCCCGGTCACTGTCGCCTCCCCGCTGTACTTCCTTCAGCTTGTGCCAAGGGATCCTACTGCACCAAGGTCTCGGCACGCCCCCATCTCTCTCCTGCCATGAGCTGGTCCCATCCCACCACGGCCACCTCCCAAACCTCACCGTTACCCTTTCCAGAACCTCTGCTCAGCCTCTCCCTCCACCTGCCCCGCTCTCTAGCCCCGGCAGCTCCCAGGACGTCCACCCCATCCGACCTGCAGCCAGGCACCTGCCCCCCCTGGCCTGGTCTCTCCCTCCCTCGCTGCCAGGCTTCTCCCAGGAGCAGCTTAGATCCCACAACCACTACAACCACTACCTTGAGAAGCTTCCAGCCCCGCTGCCCTGCCCTGCCCTGCCCTGGCTTTGCTGGAACTAATTCCCTGGCAAATCCCAGCCCTGACTCCCAGCTCCCCACCGACCTCGCCTGCTCTCAGCCTGCAGAACTCGCCTGGCAACAACTCTTTTTTATGAAGTTTTCAAAAGTAAAGAGAAGAGTAGAATGAAGCTCACCTCCCGGACTAAACAAGTGGCAGCCCACCTGGCCTCGCCTCAAGTGCACACCCTCCCCTGGATGGGCAGGTCTGCCCAGCAGCCCTGCCACCTCTCAGTTCACTGACCCCTCCCCCTTCTGCCCACGACAGGCCCGGCATCTGGCCTTAAAGGACCAGAGAGGAACCACGCTGGGCTTCTCGGGCCAGTCTCTGTGCCACTGCTGAGCTCTGTGCACAGCACTGGGGCCCACGGAGCTGCACGCACAGAAAGGCAGCAGGAGGGCCACCCGTCCTGGGACCTCGCTGCTCCTCATCACAGAACACCCACATCCGGCACAGGCACCAATGGGAACGCTGCCCAGACCCTGGAAAAATGGGTGTGGCCACGTGACACTGGCCAACATGGTGGAAATGGACGTGGTCCATGTTGGCGCAGCAGGAAAAGGACCAGGGCCCCGCAGTCGGGCTGCCTGCAGGTTTCTATGTGAGAAACGTAGTGTAATCCCGTGGCGGGGGTCTCCTTCCACAGCAGCCTAAACGCTCCCGATGCCGACTTTCCCCACTTGCTCCTGTGCTGGGCCTCGTCCTCCTCCTCCTCCCCTTCCTCCTCCTGACCCAGTTCCCAGACGACAGCTGTGCTTCTCCAGTAAACACCGGGGTGACGAGAGGAACCTGTCCTGGCCCGTGTGATGGTGACCTGCCACACACCTGTGCAGGGTGACCCCCACTTCTGCAACGACCCCGACTCCAGGCATCACTCAGCCACGACCTCTTGCAGCACCAAGTGCTTCTCTCCACCAGGTCACGTCCATCTGCAGACGAGCCAGCACTGCTCCCACCTTGAAGTGCTTCTAGGAACCAGTCACGGCAGAGATGCGGCTGGCCAGCCCCGGCCCAAAGCGCACCTCAAGGCAACCCCTCACTGAGTGACAGGAAACCACAAGGCTCGACCCAGCGCAGCCAGACGACACCCGACAGCCCACAGGCAGGCTCCACGGGACACGGCTGTTTCAGGAGCCCCCGGCTGTCCCTAGCTTCACTGCTTAGAGGCGGGATTCTGAGGGATGGAAAGATTTCCAGCTCCTCAGCCTGACGCTTCTGAGAAAGACACACGTAGGCTCTAGGCTCATAGAAACTGAACGTGAGGGCTACGGACTCACCACCTGGCCCAGAACCAAGCGACCCCGGGACACCTGAGCAGCACTCACCGGTGACATCTTCCGGATCAGATCGTGGGCAACGACCAGCAGGTCCCGGTCCTTCATCACCTTCCTGCGGAACTGGGCCGCGTCCCCGGGGTGCAGCACGTCCAGCTGCTCCGCGGTCTCGATGACGGCCTCCAGGCAGCTCCGCCAGGAGCAGAGCGCGGGGATGCCGGGGGCCGCGGCCGCGCTGACGCCCGTGCCGATCACCAGGAGCAGTTCCTGCGGCTGTTTCTGGATGAGGCTTTTTAAAAACTTTCTACTTAAAAACCGGAGGGAGAGAATGAAAGTCCGCGTGAAAGGACGGCACCCGAACAGAAACAGCGCGTTTGGGGAGACGTGCAGGTGCTGGGTCCTGTCGGCCTGGCACAAGCACACACGCACATGCACGCTGCCCGTCTCCGCTGCTGCAGCAGGAGCGCTGTGATCTCTGTCTGTCCTACACGCTCCATCCTGTTCCACAGGGGCCGTGGGGACAGCAGCACCTTGTTATCGAGTCCCAGGGTTAAGCGCACAGGTAAGTGACGTGACCTCTCAACAAAAAGCACCGCCATTTTCATTCTCCGGAGCCGCAAAGAGCTCGGAAACAATGACGGCGGCGAAATGATCCCTGCTTCCCGTGACGGATAAAATCCTGGCAAACGCTGGTTTTCTGCCACTTACCCATCCCCGCGCTTTGCAAGAGCAGCGCCTCCGACCTGGCGTAACCTGGGTCTACGGCAGACTGCCCCCCGCCCTCCGCGGCCACAGCCGTCTGAGCCGGGGGCCCCCTGACCCTGCTGCTCCTGGGAGACCAGGTCCTGGTCACGTCCTGGGGCATTGCTGATGCTGACGCAGAGGATTACAGCCCCTGCGACTCCATCCGACCCAGCTTCTACCCTCCCTCTCGCCGCTGTCGGTGACAGAGCTACCAACCTGCACCAGGAGGCGTTCACTTGATTTACCTGGACTTTTGTTCACTTCTGTGTGTTGTCTTTTCCAGTGAATCCATCTGTGAATCCTAAAGGGAGAAGTTAGTCAGAAGCGACTTCCATTTCCCAGATGGAAGCTGTGTGGTTAGTGCGGGGAAGAGGGAAGGCGGGGGTGAGAGCAGAGGTCCTGGGCGTTCGCTTACACTGGGCACCTGAGAAGCGTCAGCACAAAACACGCGTCAGCGGCTCCTGCGCCACCATCCCTCCCCCGGGCTGCGGCTCCGGCCTCTG